ATGCTTATCTACATAGGATACTGTATTAGAAATTGGAGGCACAAACATACTATATACAATTTCTTTATAAAATTGATTTGGAGATTATTAAGTACCACCCATAATTTTATAAATGAGAAAGTTGAGGCTTTTTGAGGACAAGTTCATTGATTCAACTATTCATTCTTTTATTCATTGAGATTCTATTAGGATCCACGGATTTTTCTAGGCACTAAGGACAAAACAGTAAACAAACAATTGCCCTCAAAGAGTTATATTCTGTTGACTTAATGCGCACATCATTAGTAGATTAAAATGTAAATCAGGAAGAACACAATTACATTTCCAAGTATAGATCATTTTAATTGGCATTGAAAATTTTATTAAATATTTATGATGTTTGTTTTCTGTCAGAATTTTATTCAACAAATGAATGCAGATATACCCCCAAAATAACATTATTTTTTGCCACAAAACAAAATTACAATAAAGATTAGGCTTTAAAGAAAATGTGATTTGAATAAGATGGGTAGCTATATACTTTGTACATAAAATCAATCTTGAAGAATCAGATGTCAGAGACTCACTGCTTAAATAAAGAGAACTTTCGGGTCTTAATTTGTTACAAGAGAAAATATCCTGCTAATACTGCAAAAATATTGATGTTTTAGAATTAAGAAAATTAGATGCTTGCTGGGACCTGTTTAGCCTTTGAAGGGAGTTGTCCATTTATCTTTAGAGAAAATTAGACAAAGCACAACATGTATTGGTGAGCAAGCAAAAATGAGACCAGAAATAGTAGAACCAGGTCATTCATCAGTGGAGTGACAATGGAGAGGAAGGACAAAATCCTCTTATACATCTTCCTCAAATGGTCCCTACTTCTGAATTCATTGTGGTTTACTTGCTTTTTTCCAAATCTACAAGTCACAAGGAAAAATTTCCACTGTTTCTAAATTGTAATTCTTTATACACTGATTAGAATGTGTAAAACTCAGCAGTTTAATGATATAAAAATTATAAATAAATTAACTGAGTAATCATTGCTTTATGTCTGTAAAGAAAAACTTATGAAGTCCCCTTACTCATTTCAAACTCTTTTGTTAAAATGTAAATTCCTTAATCACAAAGGAAAATCATGATGTAACTTTTAAAATTTTACGTAGCCATCTCTTTTCTTAATAATTAACTTCAGTGAAATTCTTTGCCATTTGCCTACTCAGCACTACATCTAAACTTTTATTTTAAAATTTTAGTTTCAAATTAAAAGGGAAAAAATGCAAAATTAAATCATTGATGTATTAAATGTTTATTTCAACTACTTATATTAAGCCAGGTCTATACAATTGTGATATTCCTAAGTTTAAGTGGGTTTGGTTAGCTATGACTTATGAGGTCTGCCTTGCAAACAACCTACTTTTCTAAAACTTTAAAAGCATTTGGACACAGAACAGTAATTAAAGACTGACTGGAAATGAACCCAAATCCAGCTCAGAAAATATTACATCTATTTAGTCACAGTATATCTAAAAAATAATATTTGAGACCAATATATTGTTTTGTATTTTTCCTGTGTTTTAGTATTAAATCATATTGTGCAGTATGATGATTTAGTGGGTGACATATCTTTTTTATATATATACTAGAGGCCTGATGCACAAAATTTGTGCAAGAGCAGGCCTTCCTTCCCCCTTCTGCCAGCACTTCCCCCTTCCTCTGGCACCCAGGACCCGGGCTTCCCTTGCAGCTCCAGCTTTGTCCAGAAGGTGGTCCAGAAGGTCGCCCAGAAGGTTATCTGGACAGTCATTCCACTGTTCGGCCCTCTGGTCTAATTAGCATATTGCACTTTTATTATTATAGCTATTTATTGATTTCAGAGAGGAAGGGTAAGGGAGAGAGAGATAGAAACATCAATGATGAGAGAGAATCATTGATTGGCTGCCTCCTGCACGCTCCCTACTGGGAGTGGAACCTGCAACCTAGGCAGGTGGCCTTGGCTGAAATCTAACTCAGGACCCTTCAGTCCACAGGCCAACGCTCTATCCACTGAGCCAAACCAGCTAAGGCAAATATATCTCTTTAAGGGGAGGGGAAAATCGGTGGTAAAAAGACTGTGAAAATCTGATTTTCTAAAAATTACACATAATGAACTTTCTAGTGTACTAGTGATGTTGACATCAGTGATGTCTTTAACAAACTATTCCAAAAGAGTAAATTAACTAGTGTTGGCAGCTGCAGGAAGTCCAAGTCTTTACAAATTTTACTAAAATATGGAATTGGTCAACTTAATTGGTAGACCCTCAATATCAACCACTGCTACTGCTGTTACAGTGAAAGGGATGGTGAAACTTGCTCTTTATTGGCATTTTAAAAGCCAGTAGGATAATGTCTTATTTAAATATGTAATTCATGACTTCTTTAATGCAGAATGAGTTTAATTTGGATTACCTCAATTTCTCTCCCTCCACCCTATGTGAAGGCATCTAAAAATACACACACTCTGGATGCCTTCAATTGTCACTGCAACCTTAGAGTAACTGACACCATCTGGGCAGTGCCGCTTAACATTCAAAGTAAATAACCACTGTATCATTCACTGTCAATGTCCTCCTACCAGTAGTGCTGTGCTTCTAATTAGGTGAACAGTGAGTAGAAGGATCACCTACTGAAAGTGTTATTTTGGGACCTATGATAAAGGGCACAGGTGCATAAGTTATAAGAAAATCCACTTTAAAACACGTGAGGCTAAGTGGATTAATACAATTAAAGATTTGGTAAATAATCCCAGAATTCACTCATTGATACCTCTTGATATTGGGAGTTTATTTGCCAATCAAAACATATTACTTCTGTTGCCTAGATTTACAAATGGAAAGTGTGATGAAATCTGGTGCATCTTTGTATCTCATACACATCCTAGTAGAGTGTCTTCTTTAGTGACAGCCACTCAATATATATTCCTATGTCAAACTAAAGACCACACTTGAATAGCATATATTTTCCTGTAAGGGGAAAAATGTCCATGTATTTGTTTTAGACTAACCTCCCCTTTTTGTTCCCAAGGGAGAGTCCAAAGGAATTAGGGCGACAACTACTTCTTGTAGTGCTTAGGCTAAGCTCAGAGCCCCTTCTTCAATTCATAGTCAGCACTGTGTTTTACTTTAGGCTAATGGAGTTGTGCATTTACAAAGATTTAGAAGCTAGAACTATTTGGGGCCCAACCCTCACAAATTTTCCACATTATCAGCCAGCCCGAGACCCAGGAAAACACTACTTGGTGTATGATCACAAAGGGAGAAGGAAGGGAAGAAAGTAGTATTTTTCTGCACAGCATCAACTGTTAAATGACCCTCCCAAAACGGGTCTTTAGACGGGTCCTTTCTTCCACTGTACACCCTTTTCTGAGTCTAATCTTTAGCATGTGAATCCCTAAAGACATTTCAGAAGAGCTTATCCAGTATCACAGGTTGCCCATGCTTAGCAACCACACAAATGACACGCATATATGTGATGTTCACCCAGTCGTTTTCCTCTAACAGTTGAGTTTCATACATTCCTAGGAATTTAACACCTACTGAACAAATGGAAAAGACTTCTGTTGTGGTTACTATGGATTCATAAAACGTCTAAGTTCCCAGCAGGTGGGCAGCAGCAATAATGGATCATGCTGCTCCGGGTCCAAGGAGCAACAACTCCTCAGGTTCTGCGAAGTGCACAGGGAAGCCTCTCTAGGTTTCTTTTACCTGTGATCAGAGATTCAAAACCCCGCAGACATTCCATTTAAATCACGGTACGTAAAAGCTAAACCAAATCTACTCCCACCGGCATCCCCTCTCCCTCTGTTTTGGTGGTGGTGGTGGTGGAGGATGGGGGTGCGTGCACCCTTCTGTCCTCCTTCCCAGCAAGCAAGGCCCCCTGCAGTTGCGCTCCTCCCAGAGCTCAGAGGCCCAGCTCTTACTTGTTGCCCTGGCTACCTGCAACGCACAAAGCCCCCCTGGGAGGCTAAAGGGACAGAGAAGCAAAGGGGAAGAAACAAGACCCTCCAGGAGGGATGGAAACCTTTCAGCTCTATGCCCCAAATCCCATAGCCAGTGTTTACCTCCCAAAGCAACAAGTGCCTCTCTCGGGGACCCTGGATAACACGCGAACCACAAACCCAGAGTCCATCTCTCCCACGTGAATAGCACAACAGGCTGACCCCATCATTGCGCAGGCGGTTAAGACCCTTGCCCCAAAGCGTGACCAAAACAGAGGTTCTGAGAAGGTCCCTCCCTCCGTCCCTCCCTCTTGAGAGAAGTCTGCCACCTGTGATTTCTTCCCATCTCCAGGTCTCTGATGGCCAATGTCCTCCTTCATCCCACCCCATTTATTTCCAAGTTTCCTAAAGGGGTAGGAAGATGCCTGTATGTTGGGGTGTGTAGGAGAGCGTGTGCGAGGGAAGGATTTATAACCTTTTCCCCTCTCTTGCACTCACTCTGAATGTGTCCTGATGGGCGATCAATAATCCCTGCTGCTTTGCCCACGTTGACATGAAGCCCTGGAAAATCATATATATATATGAAAGGGCTTTGGAAACTATCAAGTGCTCAACAGGTTGCAGCTTCGAGTTACCCTTTCCAAGATCCTCTCTGCCTTCCGAGGCCAAGGCAGCCCCTGATGCAAAGCACATCCCTGCCTCCAAGCACGGACGCCAAGGCCCCTTCCCCTTTTTTTTCCGGCCGCCCCCCTCCCGGAGGAGACGCGGGGCGTGGGAGTGCGCGGGGAAGGGGCGCAGAAGCCGGGGAGCCAGACGGCGGGCAGGGGCGGACCGGAAAAGTGAAAGGAGCCAGGCGGGTGGAGATGGGGAGACAACACAGGAAAAAGCCCACAGTCCAAGTAGCCAGCTGCCGAGTAGGAGGAAGGAGCAAGGTAGGAAGGCGCTGCGCCCTAAAGCTGCCGCCAGCGCGGCGCGGGAGGCACGGAACTGGGAGCCCCGAGGGGAGCGCGAGGACGCGAGCGGGGGCCCTCCCGTCCCCGGTTACCTGTGCTGCCTCCGCCCTGGCTGCCTCGGTCCCGGGGGAAGATGCCCGAGCACTTCTCCCACTCCACCTGGCCCGCGAAACACAGCTCGGTGACGATGTGCAGCGCCTTCTGGCACAGGCTGTTCACGCCGTCCTCCTTGTGGAAACTCATCGTGCGGCTTCTTCTTGCCTCAGTTGGCTGCCCTCCCCTGGCCTTGACCTCTCGGCTGGCCCCTCTGGCGTCCTAAGCCATAGCCCGCCCGCGGGGACT